CAGGCTCTGAGCCATCAGCCCAGAGCCCGACGCGGGGCTCGAACTCACGGACCGCGAGATCGTGACCTGGCTGAAGTCGGACGCTTAACCGACTGCGCCACCCAGGCGCCCCTATTAATTGCCCATCTTGTTCTTTTGTGTATGGTGAAACTGCATTCAGTGTTTTACTAAAATTGTCATCTTTAGGTATCTAATTTTATAATACCATGCCCAGTTATTAGTAGCCATGGGGTGGGAATTGATGGTATAATTAGAAAACATGAGACTCAATGTTTGGGGCTTGGCTCTCATTCCCGTGTATGTTCTAGTCGTCTGTTGTGGGAAGCTTTTCACTTTGATGTATATTTGTATGCAAAAATTTGGCACTCTAAAGGCATGTAGAGCCACCTAAACAGTAGTTGACTTGGCATATTTTCCTAGGGGAGTAGCTTGGATACTCCTAGAAACTAGTTCCTTCCCTGTAAAGATTCTGATTTGATAACTCTAAGTGAAGTTTAGGAATTTGTTTTTCTTTTCCTTTTTCTTAAGACGAGCACGTCAGGTGGTGCTGGGAGCTCTCTTACTGCACATTGAGAAGTTCATCTCAGATCAACATAGACATTGACATATGTGCCTGACCAAATCTTGCCCTTGCTGACTGTATATGTGGCTGTAACCTCTTGGGCAAGGGGAAGACCTGCTTTCATTGTTGCTACTTCTCCTCCAGGCTGTCGTCCCTCAGAAAAATGGTGGGAAGGTTACTACTGCTCCAGAAAATAAAGTCGGGGGGAAAACGTCTCTGGCTCCCGTGGTTGCTGAGAAACTAACATCACCACACAGGAAGACAGCCACATGGGCCAAATTGCCAAAAGACAAGAGGAGTGCCAAGAAGAGAAGTGGGAACGATGAGGAGGAAGAAGATAAGAACACGGAGTTGGGCCAAGATGAGAAAGGTAACAAGTCCTCTTCCAGAGGCAGTTCCTGGCCAGTGGCTACAAGATAGCAAGGGTCAGCCCTGTGTCCTTCCACATTGCTGTTAGAGGCATTCTGTGAAGATACCCCCCTTCAGAAAGTTGCCATGGCAATCTCTGGCTGATTTTTCAGGCCTGGCTTCATTGAGGAGGAAATCTCAGTGGACATTTGACCTCTGCTGTCCCCATGACCAGAATCAGTTTTCACTGAACATTCTACATTGATTGTTTCTGTCGTGGTGCTATGAGCCACGCGCATTAATAGTTCCCCAAACTTAATTCTCAGTGATTTCGTTTTTGTCTTGATGGAATCTATGTAACATTTTAAATTGTATTGCTTCCAGGAGTGCCTGGCTGGCTCAGTCAGTGGAACATATGACTCTGAATCTCAGGGTTGTGAGTTTGAGCCCCATGTTGGGTGTAGAGATTACTTAAAAATTAAAAAAAAAAGATACTGCTTCCAAATAAGTAATTATTATATTTTTATTAAAATACAATGGCAATGCATTTAAAGTTATTTCAAAATAAGAGGTTAAAGTGGCAGTGAATTTTTTTTTTTTTTTTTTTTTGGTTTGTGTATTATAGCCAGATTTACAGGAAGTTTTTCTGAAAGAACAATTTGTTATTCTCATTCTTAATAAGTCTGTCTAATTGATTAGGTAGGTTTTCATTTAGAACCTGAAAAAGAAGATGTGTATTCTACATGGGTCAGAGGGAGAAAGCCCTTCCTGTAGGGGTTGGGGACAGTGACTGAGGAAAAGGGCTGTAAGGAAGAAGAGGGAAAGGAAGGTCAGAATGACCTAAATCAGTTCAGTAGAGGGGTGGCCCGTATCAAGGAATTCAGGTTGTAAGGGAAGCCCTTGGGCAGAGGCTGTTGGATTTCTTTTAGGAACTTGAAGAACTTTCTGATTAATTTATAAATGCTTTCACAAGTACTCTGACCAGACCTAACCTATGTGTTTTGTGAAGAGTAGACATACCATAGGTATGGTATTTGTGATTAGAGTAAAAGCTTCCGGTTTACTCATTAGTGGTACAGACAGATCATTAAAAATATAGTATTCTGGCTTTTGCCCACAGAGCCTATCAAAAAAACACCTGATAAATGGAAGAAGGAGATGGCTAAACAGAAGGCTTCCCCTGAAATCAAAAAACAGAGATTGGAAGGTAACTTGTTTGTTGTGTTTTAAAGCACAAGACAAAACACGGAGACTTGCGTATTGGTTAAGTGTAGGTATGATGTTTGTGGACAAGGCGAAAGCCCAAGTGATAAACAAGGGGATTTTTATTGCAGTTTGGCGTTACAATATGCCAGAATCTTTAACAGAATTTTCTTTTAGCATCATTGTTACTGAACTGTTTATTTGAGTTCTTTTCTTTCTTTCTTTTCCTTCCTTCCTTCCTTCCTTCCTTCCTTCCTTCCTTCCTTCCTTC